TGAGGCCTCCTCCATAGCTGTAAAAGGAAACTGGACATACTCAATCTCTCAGAGCCCCTTCCAATTTCAAGCCTTGAACTATGTATTTAAACCTTTGAACCATACATTGAATTCACATCACGTTTCATACAGCCGAATTATTTCATTAAATAATTTTAGCAAGATGATTACTTTCAATAAGTGTTTCATTTCCATCCGAATTAAAACAAAAATGCCAATCGAGAACTACAGATTTGATTATGCAATACTAATAGATGTGGGTATATTTTAGAATAAACTCTGGGGAAATCAATCTAAGATGATTGAAATTCTAACTTAATTCTTCTTTAAATTTACTCATAATTTCAAATAAAAGTAAATTATTAAATATACTAATTTATAAAAGGGTAAAGTAGTCACTATTCAAGTTGTATTATCATTTATTAATAATCTTTTGTGGATAATGTAACTAGAGAGATTATTGTTAATTTTTAATCCATGATTCCTTAGAAAAAAGAAATATAGGTGGCAGTTAAATATTCTATTTAGGCAGGAACTGAATTGACGACTATGAATGATTTACCAAATTTAAATTGACATTCATTTATTATTCACATTTTATTCCTAAAAATGTATCAATTAAATAAATTTATTGAAATAAGCTTCTGTAAAAAATAACAAACTTTCTAATGTTCCCTATTAAGTTTCTATTGTTACAAAAATTTTGAGATTGCATTTTGTTATAATTAAGGTAACTATACTATATCTTAGTGATTAGATTCAGACGATGATATATTTTTTATTTGATGAATAATATTTGTTTTTTTGCTCTTAATTTTATTTCCTTTATTAATAAAAAAATGAAAATTATAATCTGAGCTAGCATTTATTGAATATCTTTCAAATAAGTTCCATTCATTTTGAATATAAAATTATACTTCTAAAGAATCTATATTTTTTTTAACTTTAATCTGCTTAAAAATCAAAATTAGTCCATTTAATAAGCATTATAATGAGGATGTCTCATGCTTTATCCAGTCTTGGCTACATTATGGAAGATAAAATAATTTGAAGTGTATAGGAGGAGTAATCTCTTAGGGTGATCCTGAATTATATAAAATTCAATCATTGCCTACTAAAGCTAATCTGGTTGGATCATAGTGATAATATAGTGATTAATTTTATAAAATTTTGAGTATTTCTTAATAATCTCTCCTATGTTTGATTAAAAGAAAATATTAATAATTTTATATAATTTCATTTATAAGGAACTCAAAGTCTTTATCTCTGAATATTTAAAGGACTATTAATACTATGAATGATGTTGCATTTTGGTAACAAATTATTGAGTTTCTATTTTGAAAATATTTATAATATTCTATATTTTGTTGAAAATTAAGTACTCTTCTCATTTACTTCATTTTGCTATATTTTCCTAATAAGGTTAGAGTAAAGAAATAGTTTTTAGATACTTTAACTGAATTAGTTTAAGTTCATGCAAAGAAAAATTAGGTTATTATAGTAACTAGTAAATAGGTTTCATGGAGTGTAGATTTGGTTTAAAGAAGATCTTAGATTATTTGAATACAATACAATAAATATTCAAAAAGTTAAATTAAAAAAAGATTGAATTTGAAATTTACAAACACTTTACTAAATTTAATTGAACTTTAAGAAGAACATTATGAAATATAAATTTCCTCAAAAAATACAGTTTTTTAGAATATGAATAATCAAAGGTTATTATAAATGTGATTATTAATCAAGTAAAAGTGTGCTCTTATGGATTTTATGCATATACAGATACTCTTCCAAAATCATTCCCAATTAATTTCAATATATTTAAATTGTCATTAGATTTGGTTTTATAAAATTAACAATACTATGATTCCTCTCAAACTGATTCTGATTTATTATGGGAGGTAAGATTAAATTAGCCTCGTTTTTTTTTATGTTTCTGATTTTACTTGGACTAACACCCCTATATTAATTTGAATTTTGGGATATTTCGCTTTAGAATTCTCATTATTAGTCATAACTTTTTTTGCTATCAAAAGACTTCGCTTTTAATTACTAATATGTTGATTGAATTTTTAAGCAAATTTATGGGATGTATATAAAGAACTATCATGATCCTTGTTACTATATACTCGATTATAATTGTTTGCAATTATTGGAATATATAAGACCATCTGAATATTTAAACATATTTTTTTATTGTTTTAAATTAATTCAGAAACACTCTTAAAAATTTAAAATTTAAGTGAAACCATAATCTTAGATCATTTATTAATTGTTTAGTAGGTTTTGATTTTGCATATTTTTGTGGATATAAGGCATGCATTATTTTTGGATTAATTATTCATCATATGCTATGAATATCAACACTTAAATTGTTTGAAAAGCAATTTGGATTAATAAGATATATATGGGTTTATCATTTTTAGTATTCTTATTAGCTAAATATTATTTTGTAATAATTGAAGATTTATTCTTTTGGAATCAATATCAAGATTAATCTTTTAAATTGTGGTTAAGTTTTTTACAGATATTTGATTTCACATTAAAAATTTAGGAGCTATTGATGATTATTTAGCAGATTCATAATTATAAATTCCACTTGGATCATAATTACCTATTTATTATTCATTAACTCCTTACTATAAGATAGATTTATTTATAGTTTTGTTTTTGATGTTCTTTTTAAATTTATTCTAGTATTTTTCGATCATCAATATGGTTGTTGGTTTATTATTGATACTTTTTGGTGCTTTTATAAAAGTCCATAATATACAAAATCTCATTATAAGGTATATATATATTTCAAAACAAAAATAATTTATCAGAAAATGAAATTTATGTTTAACCACTAATGACTCAATAGTTTCTGGTTGATTTTAATTATTTCTAAGGAATAGTAATTTCATTCATTTCTTTTTTACTATTTACAGATGATTTCAAAAATATTTTTGAATCATTAATTGATTCTTCATAATTATCAGTTTAATATGACAGATTTGAAATAATATTATTTTAAAGTCTAAAACCTACCTAAATGCTTATTTTGATTCAATGGATTAAAAATAAATTAAATTTTTGAGTCTTCATGTATGTAAAATAGTAAATTTGAAATCTAATAACCACTCTTAGTAATACTTCTAAATTAGATTTACTATATTTCTAGGTAATAAATAATGATTTTTTATAATAGAGTATCTTCTACAATTTTTAGGTTTACTTAAATGATTATTAAATTTTACATCATAAGTGTAGATATGATAAAACTTACATCTGCAAGAATCTCTCCTAATTTAGAATAAATAATTTATAGGATTTCAGATAAACTATCTCTTCCAATTAAGAATAATCTAAGATAATATACTTCCAAAACTTCATTCTAAGTTAATTATTATGATGTAGTTAAAAGATCATTAATAATATTTTAATTTTTTATTTATTCTAAAAAGAAACCTGAATCTATAATTGATTTTGTTATTTTTAATACTAATTGAATGCTTAGAGCAGTTTCCTTATCTAAAATAAAAAAGATTTATATAGATATTATTTTTAATCTTTCAATTTAGTAATAAATTATTGCATATATATTATCAAGAAAAATGTGTTTAAAGGCTGTTTAAAAAATTCTTCTTATTTTTCTTTATTTGCACAATTATCATATTAAGAACTATCACATTATTTAAATAACATTTTTAATTATTTTTTAACTTTCAGGAATGTCTTAACTTGCATCTTAATTATTAAGAACCAATATTACCTCCTACTAGAAATTGAAGTTGAAATTCCATTTCTAGTAAGATGTATACCAGAATCTAACATAAATTATTTCTTAGAAATCACAATATCATCAACTAAGAAAAATAAGGTGAAATGATACTATTCTTAGTGAGATGATTGAGTTAATGAAATAGATTAAGAATGATTCGAAAAATTAGATCATTGAAAAAATAAAACCTAATTGAATTATATGTTATAATTATTATAATCATCGAAGAATCTAATTAACAATGAAGGAGAAGGTTGAAAAAACTCAAAACAAAATTGAACTTTAGATTAAAGATATGATTAAAGATAACAATAAAAATGAAGAAATTCAAGAGGAAGTTAATGTATATACAGAGATTGAAGCCTTATCAAAATATTACAAGGTAATAAAGAATATGAATTACCTTAAGAAAAATAAAGCTTAAATTCTATTTCATAATTAATAGAAAATGTATAAAATCAAATTGGATATATTTCAAATGCTTATTAATATTAAAAGATTTTAGAATCGTAATAATATATAAAAATTGATATGTATAAAGGTATAATTTGTATAAATATTATCTACATAAATTAATGAACAAAATGATTTAGAAATTATAATGGTCTATATAGAGTAAAGTCAAGAAGAACACAAAAGGTCAGCATGAAATATATATAAGAGATTCCTCAAAACTTTACTACTCTAGAGGATACAGATGAAAATTGGACAAAGTTTAAACTTAAATATAAATAAATGATATAATAATATAGTAAGGATAGGGAGTCTAATTTCAATTAAGCTATTGACTTTATAAAAAAATTAAGAGACAACTATTAAGAAATATTGACAAAAATCATCAATGATCAGGAAGATATTAAAATTGTTACAGAAAAACAATATCACCTTTTTATTTAAATTAGAAAAATATTTATTAATTAGGTGAAAATCAATTAAAAAACATTGGAAACATTAAGTTACAAACATTTATAATTAACGTTAGCACAATAAGAAATGCAATTTATTATCATAAGTTAAAAGAAACTTTAGACAATTTGAAGAAGTATAATCTAATCCAAAAGGAATAAATAATTATGATTGAAAATAAAAATAATAGTATTTTTCAATTTGATATTAAGACTTTTTAATATTGAATGAAGATGAAAAATTACATATCTCTAATTGTGATGAAATTGAATAATTTTTGGAAAATACCTCTTTTCTTTAATCTTATATGACTATATTTGAAGATTCTATTTAATAAGATTAAAATTTGTAAAAATAGATTTACAGTTTAAATGTAAAAGTGAAATATTTCAATTAATGTATTAACAATAAATACAAAAAAAGAGTGGAAAAAAATTGGTCAAGATGAGTGTCCAAATTAAAAATTAGTGTTATAAGATAATATTCATCATTTGATTAAATTTCAAAAAGGCAATTGTAGTGTTTATATAAAGATCAGAATTTATTAACCCAATTATATTAGGAAAATTTAGACTTATCAGATAAACTTAATTAGGAAATATTTATTTCAACCTAATTTAAAAAACATAAATAGCAATTAGAAAAGACATTGTTGAATTTAGATCAAAAAAATGAACTTATTTAGGAATAAAGTCTATGGCAGAAGAAATTTATTTATTGTTTTCAAATCAAATACGAATTTCATCATTTTCACCTTATTATTAGCTATAAGATGCAGGAAATTATGATGTTTAAGATTATTTAGTAGAATCTATAAATAGAGATAAGTTAATCTAGTTTAAAGAATGTGGCCATTTAAGATATTGTGGTGAATTTGTTGATTTATGTCTTGCATCAAAATAGTGTTTTTATTGTAATAGTTCCCTAATTAATTGTTATTTCCATTTTGTAATATATATTAGGATTAGAAAATTTAAGATGAATTATCAAGATGGAATGAACCCTTTAAAATTAATTATAAGATGAGAAAATTCCAAAATATATCAAACTTACCTATGAATAATTAAGGGATGAAAGCTAGATTTTTATGGAGGGAAGACAATGAAAAATTTTTATATTTAATATATTAATAAATAATACTAATTACAAGCTTTCTATTACTTATTATTATGAACCACAAGATAATTGACAAACTAGAGTATAACATTTTTAAGTCTAACCACAACCTCCATATAATATAGATTATCCTGGAATCTATTAAGTTTACAATTAGTAATTTTTGCTTAAAACCCTGCTTGAGTAAGAATTTTATGAACTTTTTATGCTAAAATTAATCTCTCTCACCTAGTCA